ACATCAAATGAATGTAAAAATGAGCTAGTTATTAATATTAGGCATAGTAATCGGCAGGTTCTTGATTACAAGGCTAGACCAAGTTAATTACATGTAATGCCGAAATGATTATTATTATTATTATAATTATTATTATTATTTTTATTAATTATTATTACCTGTACGTTAAGGGGAACTTAGCCAACAATGGAGGAATTAGAGAACAATTTAAAAAACGACGTTAAGGGGAAATATACACAAAAGATATTCCCCTTGGGCTAGTTATTATTTATAGGCCTAGTAAATAGTATCTGTAGATTCTTCATGGCAAGCCTTAGGCCAAGATAATTAATGCTGAAATTATTATTATTATTATTATTATTATTAATTATTATTATTACCTGTACCTTAAGGGGAACTTAGACAATGGAGGAATTAGAGAACAATTAAAAAAACGACGTTTAAGGGGAAATTAACACAAACGATATTCCCCTTGGGCGATTATTATTTATAGGCATAGTAAATAGTACGGTATCTGTAGGTTCTTCATTACAAGGCTTAGGCCAAGGTAATTAATGCTGAAATGATTATTATTATTATTATTACTATTATTATTACTATTATTATTATTATTGTTATCATTATTATTATTATTATTATTTAACATTAATTACATTACAATGATAGTTTGGACAAGTTCAATAACGCCGGAATGGTATATTATTTATTTAATAATATTTCTCTTATGCGCACTATTTTTTATTTCATGCTTCAATTTTGTCCTATTTTTTCCCCAAAAAATTTCAGTCAATGTCAGTATTTTGGTGTCAGCCTATGACCCTCTAGTTTAAGGAGGGGCCTAGGTAAGATCTCAGCCTTTTAGGCCTCTTTCTCTCTAGCCTTTGGTATTACTGTACCTATCTACACTTTATAACAGGAGGTACTAGCTGTTGTTGTTGTAGATAATATACTAACATTTAATAACATCCAAGAAGGTCACAGTTAGTTACACACGTACATCCCATAAGTCCGTGAGATTTCATAGGCCTACCGTAGGTAAACATAGAAAGAGCAATAGAGTAATAGTAAAACTCGAGCGTCACGACATTGCGAAGTGTCTGATCTTGTTCCTCGTGTCGTACTCACTCGAGTCCATCCGAGATGGCCCGAGTGAAAGAGTGTTAAAAGATACACTTTGGCTCGTCTTGTGGCCGTAATTTGTCTCAAAGGTCTACTTTATCCTTCAAAAATCAATTTCAAAAAATTGATTAAAACTTTCCTCGGTTGAGGTCGCTGCTCTAATTTTGATGTTACTAATTTATCTCTGATTTACCTATCAGAAATTGGTTTATTCCAAGAACAACAGCGTGCGATGATTGGGTAGAAGTGTAAAAGTTGAGGCCAGTGATGACGACTACGAACGCGATTGGAATATTGCGCGTGTATTATGGACACGTTACACGGGCTAATCAGAATCTGTTCTCTCGCGTAAATTACCTTTGAATTTGGCAAACTGCGTTTGTAAGTAACGGCATGCTCAAATTTTGTCATTCCAGTTGACAGACTCTTCGAAGCGTCTTCGTCGACCGTCAAACTCTTCTTTGTAAAGCTTTTTTTTCTACTGTGAGATTTGAATATTATACACTTTCAGAATGGTTAGTTGCTTTGTGCCTAGGGCTAGGCCTAGGATATTTAAATTACATTTTGATTCTGTTTTTGGAAAGACCTCTCAGAGTCCCGGTTTCTAAGTTTTTCTCATTCCATAAACGTCACGGACGTAGGCCCGGGGTCGGCCATACATTGTTGCCAGTTGCACAAGGACAAGGTAGCCTATCTAGGACTAGGCCTAGGGGCCTAGGCTAGGTTAGAACCATAAACCAGACACTGAGACAACTAACTTGTTTTTGTTGTTGCATGTTTCCTGATCAGTAGGTAGGAAGAATGATTAAACAAACTTAAAGCTCGGCATCTGGATTTTCCCCTCAACCTCTCCCAACCTTTTTTTTTTTATCTTATTATGTTTCTCTTTCTTTTATTAATATAGGCCTAGGCCTACTTTTAATATTAGGCCTATGGTATGCCTAGGTGGGCTAAATTTGGACCAGTTTACCTTTCTAACTCAAAAAAAAAAGAACTTATTATGACAATGAATATATGACATTGTATGTACTACGTGGATAATTTTTTATTTAAATATCATTTCAAAGCAGTTCATTACTTTTTATAATGCTTTGGCTTTGGACTTGTCTTTATCTCATCTGCAAATTTAAAATAGCCAAATGCAATAAACAACATTTCGTTTTTTGATCTTGTGTTTGTAAAGGCCAACTCAGACAGCGTCGTACGACGCAACCCGACGCGATTTGTTGTCGCGTCGGGCCTGTGTGAGTTGAACGCAGACGCGATGGTGTGCGTTGGGGGCAGTCGCGTCGTAGAATATGAAACATTTAATATTTCTCACGACAGCTTAAGACTGTCCCCGACGATAAATCGGTTCGGGCTGCGTCAGCCGACGCTGTCTCAGTTGGATTTACCCAGTTTAAAAAACTAAAATAATAATATTTGACAATTTTCAGCGTGAATGTATTTCAATTCATGTTGGACAAGCTGGCGTTCAGATAGGCAATGCTTGCTGGGAGCTTTACTGCTTGGAGCATGGTATTCAGCCTGATGGACAGATGCCAAGTGATAAGACTATTGGAGGTGGTGATGATTCTTTCAACACATTCTTCAGTGAGACTGGTGCTGGAAAGCATGTCCCACGTGCTGTGTTCGTGGACCTTGAACCAACTGTTGTTGGTAGGTGCAATGATTAATTGGATTTATTTACTAAAATTTAACAAAATTATATTTGCAACTTTTTTTCAAATTTAAATTAAAATAAATTTTATGGACATTATGAAATGCTTTAAAGACTTAGTGACCTTTAAATAAATGTTGTAGATACATTTTTGCTTTATAAATTATATAATTTGTTTTCTTCTAATTTTAAGATGAGGTCCGAACGGGCACCTATCGTCAACTATTCCACCCTGAGCAGTTGATTACTGGGAAAGAGGATGCTGCAAACAATTATGCACGTGGACATTACACCATTGGCAAAGAAATTGTTGACCTTGTATTGGACAGAATCAGGAAGCTGGTAAGAGTTGGCAATAGTAGACATACTTTTTTCATTCTGAAGTACAGGTCTATAGAAATGTGTGCTACTGTATTCGTATTATTTCCTGATTGATCTGTGTTGATAAAAGATGCACAAATTTGTTTGAAACAGTACTATAATATGTACATTCCATTTTGGAACTCTGTCATGTAAATTAAAATAAATTACAGTGTTGCATGATATCTTGTATTTATTAATTATGATAAAATATTTATCATCTGTATAATGTTTAAAATTTGTATTCAACATACAGGCTGATCAATGCACAGGATTGCAGGGATTCCTGATCTTCCATAGCTTTGGTGGTGGCACTGGATCTGGTTTTGCATCTTTGCTAATGGAACGTCTTTCTGTAGATTATGGCAAGAAGTCCAAGCTTGAATTTGCCATTTATCCGGCCCCCCAGGTATCTACAGCTGTTGTTGAGCCATACAACTCCATCCTTACTACCCACACCACCCTGGAGCACTCTGACTGCGCCTTCATGGTTGATAATGAAGCTATCTATGACATCTGCCGACGTAACCTGGACATCGAACGCCCAACATACACCAACCTGAACCGACTTATCGGCCAAATTGTCTCATCAATTACAGCATCCCTTCGCTTTGATGGCGCATTGAATGTGGACTTGACTGAATTCCAGACCAATTTGGTTCCCTATCCGCGTATTCATTTCCCTCTGGTTACATACGCCCCAGTAATCTCAGCCGAGAAAGCATACCATGAGCAGCTGAGTGTGGCAGAAATAACCAATGCCTGCTTTGAACCAGCCAACCAGATGGTGAAATGTGACCCTCGTCATGGAAAGTACATGGCTTGTTGCATGCTGTACCGAGGAGATGTCGTTCCTAAAGATGTTAATGCTGCCATCGCTACCATCAAGACCAAGCGAACCATCCAATTTGTTGACTGGTGCCCAACAGGTTTCAAAGTTGGAATCAACTATCAACCACCAACTGTTGTTCCTGGTGGAGATTTGGCAAAGGTGCAACGTGCTGTATGTATGCTGAGCAACACCACAGCTATCGCTGAGGCCTGGGCCCGTCTGGACCACAAGTTTGACCTGATGTACGCCAAGCGTGCTTTTGTGCATTGGTATGTAGGTGAGGGTATGGAGGAAGGAGAGTTCTCTGAGGCACGCGAAGATTTGGCAGCTCTGGAGAAGGATTATGAAGAAGTCGGTGTAGACTCCGTAGAAGGAGAGGCGGAAGAGGAAGGCGAAGAATATTAGGTTCACCCGTCTTAAATTGTATTAAAATACATAAAGATTTAAATTTGAAATATTAAAAAGTGTTGTGTTATAAAAGTTCTAGTGTGTTAAATAAAAATTAAGTTGTGTACAGTACCTATGCAGCATTGCTATTTATCTAGTTTTGTTTCTTTATATTTTAAAATATACTGCTATACATTAAATTGAGCAAAAGCCTAAATATTACTAATTTTTAAAAAATATCTCTTTTCAGTGATTTTAAAGTAGAGACATTGTATTTAAATGTTGGTACACTTACCAGGATGTTTAACTAATTGAAGCTAATAATATATTCAAAGCAAACAGTTTAACTTTTTGTACTTCAAAGCTTGGTGGCAGTACATTTTACATCTTTTAAAACTATAGATAAGTAATTGTAGTGATATTTCGTTTGAGAAAGGAGGAGGAGGAGAGTGTTGCCATTAAAGTTCCCCGACGTCTGCAGAATATGAGAGTGACCATTGCTGTAAGAAGAAGACTAACATTTGATTATTAGTACATACATACATAACATCATTTATATAGCGCTATTTTCAGTAGTTGTACTTAATTTGAAGCCTGTGAAACTATGTTTACACTGCAGCAAGTAATAGCGCCATATGATTACGCTAATTATCTGTCCTTGTATACAGAAACTATACGAAGCAAGAGACCAGAAGAAAAGTTCACACAATACAAATTTTGACATACAGTAATTTATGCTGTGTACAACTTTTAATTACACAGAATACAGATTTAATTTTCAAGGATGATAACTGTAAAATTGGATGAAGCCAGTTCAATCAACAATGGAACAAATACATTACGAATTGCAAACTTATGGCATGGTCATATATAAGATGTATACTTAATTTAAAAGTTACATAATTTAGATGGATCAAATCCCATTAGTTGTTTGTCACAGCATTTTCATTATATAGGAACACAAATAATATAAATTAACATTCCTTGATCATAATTATATAATACTATATATTTTCTCTATCTGTTCATTCAAAAGTTCATAGGAAATTGTATATGGCTGCACAAAGCTTAACTGAAAAACAAAGTTAAGTAAGAATTATACATGTTTTTGCCATATCAACCATTATCAAGACATTTGAAATTGAATACTGTACTACTACAAACATCAATAAAGAAAAAAAATGACCTCGCAATAATAATTTTTAAAATAGATCATTACTATCCAACTATCAATTACAAAATGCAATTGCAACTTTGATAAACCATGGATAAAGTAGATAACAAATTACATTTAAATATTACAATAAAAGATATTTAAAGCATAAAACATTAGATTTCAGTTAAAATTAACTGTGACATTATAAACTCATCAGCATATTAGGCCTAAAAAAAACTTGTTTGTTTGCCGTCATCATCCGCATAAAATCCAGAAAATTAGGAGCAGGCTTTTTTTTTTATTTCAAAAAAGTTTTTTTTTCAGTTTAAGAGATCAAATGAAAATCACTTTTTTGTCAAAATCGCGCAGTTTTCACATGTTTTTACGATCATGATTTTACAAAAAGTAAACCCGCCCCTCTATTTAAATTTTTACAATGTGACAAGTAAATAAGTAGCACCAGTTATACCATACAATCTGAACAAACTTTATGGGATCTTTAACATGGGTGTGGGGTAGGGGGAGAGTGACACTAAAACATTTAAACACACCCATTACATTACGGCAAAAATACTAAAAATGACCATTAAGGGGTTTAGTTACACGCTATCAATTTTTACACCCCCAAGGCTGTTTCGCACCCCCTTTCCCCACCACCCAAGAGCAAATCCAGCTTACTTCTTTGTCTTTACTGTACTGTACACAAAACTGTTTCATACAGTCATCTTCACATAGTATAGTATAGAAAACATATCCTGCAAGATAAATAAAAAAATATGAATAATCATAATTACACTGTTCTATCATTTGTATTCAAAACATATAATGCATAGTAATAGTTTTATTGTACAGTATTTACACAGTACAGTACACTTAAAATATGTACTGCACATACTCTAATAATAAACAGCATGATTTACAGAGATTCCAAGCAAGACAAATTTGAAGTCATTTAAAAATTATAAAATTTCCCTATCGAAAATAATGTTATTTTTATTGCCAATCCCTAATATTGTGGTCTAAAAGCACATTTTGGACCATACTAAGCCATAAAAACTTGCCATGAACCCTATCAAATGATTTTTTTATTCCCGGCCTTCGACCAAGGCTCCATCGACTTTGGTTCGGACCCCTCATTGGCAAATTTCTGGAGCCACCGCTGGTTGTGTGTGACATGAAGCCATAATACCATAATAGGCACGATGGTCACTGGTAGCCAAATATTCTGCCAAAGAATGGCTAATAAATAATAATAATTATAATTCATTTATATACAGTAAATAAATAATTTATGAATATAAATAGTAACATACTCATTTGAATATTTAATAAATTTCATTTTTTAGCTCATTTACTGGTAGAGTGATTTGATTTTCAAACTTTGTTCTTATATGATACTTTACTGTACAGTAACATAATTCATTTAACAACTGAATTTTAAAAGGAATCGTTCAGCAATTTATAGCAACAATAGAAAATCTCTACCCAGTCTGAGTCAAAAGAAGCTAGCTAGATTTGATATACGCCCTCTATCGGCCCTTTTTCGCCATCTTTGATAAGTAGAACAGTGTTGAGAATCTACTTGTAAGTATCATTAAATATCTAATTGTATAGGATAGATCAGCTTTTAATCATCAGGTCAATTTATGTACCAATATTTAATATAATTTTCAATGAGCATATATATGAGCTTTACTTATGAAAAGTATTAATATTTATATTTTTGTCAGACATCTACCCGGCGCTACGATTGTAAACAAAATTGGTGCCTAGGCCTCTGCCTGGTCTCCTATTACTAGGCCTACGTGGTGATTAGCCCTTCTGTTGTACATTTCCATACATACATATTTTATCGCCAATCATAGATTAATATTCCTTTTAACTGTTGTATGTATTACCTCATGGTTAGCTGGTGTAATAATCCCCAGGAAAGAGGGATGGTGACCTAGGGCCTAGGCCTACCAGACCAGACACCCAACAGGCGGTACGGAAGGCCTAGGTAGTAGGCCTAGACAGATTTTTGTAGGGTAGGCCTACCGAAATGATGTACAGTACTATTTCCTGCAAAGCTGGTCAGAACATCGACATTTTTTCTACTAATAAAAGGCCAGTATGAATATCAAGATGTATTATTCTGTTGTAGTGTTCAAACAAAGTCATGAACAATCTACAATTTACAAAGAAATCAGTGTGAAGATACTTTACTGGGTTTGTTTTACATGCAGTACACGTCAATCAAGGGCTACTAGTGAATTTACCAAAAATATGTGCAACACTACAGTAGGCCCTTGTATGCTAATACTAAAACTTTTGTCCTGTTGTTAGTGGTGTTCCTACATAATAACAGAAAAATAATATAGATAGCTACAAAATCAAATTGACATCAAATCATATTCTACTCTTACAGATGCTTCATTTCAATAATATTTTAATAATAAGTCTTGTCATTTTGTCTACATAAATTTATAATGATTCTTCATCTTTGTATTTTAGTGAGATTGTGTCGGCTTTCCAACTAGAACAATGGCCAAGTCTAAGAACCATACAAGTCATAATCAAAGTAAGTAGGCCAATATCATCTTAATAATAATAGTGATTTATATTCAAATATTACAATCAAGATAAAAGAATAGGATGTTCTGATGAGGAAATCTTGTCCAGGTCAAACAATATAATTTTTTAATTTACCTGTATTGCATGTTCTTATTGGCATCTTGCTAGTGTTATTACTCAAAATGAATTGCTGCAGGAATTGAACAAGCAACCTGCAGAGTATGTTTTCAACAAACGAGTCGCGTTGGCATTTATTTTGATATTTGCAAGTGAACTGATTTATATGTCTGATGTAATAATTTGTTTTTCTATCCAAACAGGTAAAAAAAATCACAGGAATGGAATCAAAAAGCCAAAGACACAGCGATATCCATCATTAAAAGGGGTAAGTTTTTGACAGCATCAAATGAAGTTGATCTTAAGACAGTTATTGTTAATTCAAATTAGGAGCTATATTTATTTATTTATTTATTTCCTTCACATCCAACAGCAAGTACACTCATAACTTACAGGATGGAACGATGCTTTATAAACCAAGTGTCTAGGAGTAGAGTTGTTTTTAGTTGTAAGAAACAGGAATTGAATGCAAGCATCTTAACCACTAAGCTATTCAACTCAACTATTAGTCCGAAATTAAATATTATAAGTAGTGTACTGCAATGCTAAATTCAGTTCAGTTCTGCCTCTGCCCTCCTTGTGTCTCAGCTAGAGGGAAATACTAGTTACAGTGCAATTAGCACACCACCTTTTGATGTTGTGTGCACTACGGCTTCCAAGTCCTGTCCAGACTTTCAAATTTTATTTGACATAACATGTGACCTGCCTAAATAAGGTCATGATGACATCACATTATGACCATATATATAGCCACATCATGACTAAATATGGACATACATTTTTTTGCCAAAGTAAATTTGATAATCTGGACAGAGCTAAAGCTTTGTCTAAACTACCAAATTTCATCAAAAAAGCATCACATGTGAGTTTTGATACAAGATGATATGTGATATGACATCATCGTTCCCATATATGGGCACAACACATTTTTTTTGTCACATAAAATTTGATAGTGTAGACAAAGCTTAAGTCCAAAGTTAAATCAAATAATGTCATATCAAATGTGATATGACATCCAAGGACCCCACTGAAATCTAATTATCTTGGAACCCTTTACAAAAAAGATTTTGCTGTAGAATAGAAATGATATAGAAAAAAATTATGTTTTTGCAGTAAGGATTGTTAACTCTTGTTCATATTTTATCGTACAGGTTGATCCAAAATTTATGAAGAACCTGAGGTTTGCAAAAAAACACAATGTACGTCACCCCAAGCCAAAAGCATAAAGATCTCAGACAGCCAGACCCAATTTAGGCATACAACACTGGACTAAGATGTGTACACTATAGAGTTGGGAAATAAAATTAATTGTACAAACATTTATGTTCTGTTGGTGTTTTTTTTTTATATTGTAATTCATAAATGGATCACACCACATGAGTCTTTTCATATTACAGTTAAACTTACCTAAGTCAGACTTAATTTTACACGCCAAATTGTTGTGTTTTCCATTAATTAACAATCTATAAGTCAAAACAATTTTTCAATGGCATTTTGGATTCGACTTAGGCAAGTTCAACTGTATTCAATTGGTTGCAGATCAACAACTGTAAAATAATGATTGTATATAAAAGTGCAAGTCATGTCACATATTATAGAGGGTGATGATAACAGTGAGACCTAAAACGTAATAATGTCACCTGCACATGCGAGAAAGTTGGGATCTTGTCAGGATTCTTCAACGCAGTGTGGCTCGAATCTACACTGTGCAGAAAACGTAGGACGGTCAAAGATTAGAGAATCTTGCATTATCACACAAACAGAAAGTTCCCGAATATACACCTTGCATTGTGACCTTTGACATGGTCATGTGCATTTGAGACCAATAATGGACACAGTCAAATAACATGCAGTCTAATTATTAAGACCTTTCTTATACATGTGTGTAGATAAAGCCAACATTCTACCCATCGGTTGGTAATAACAAAGTACTGTACAACAATACGAACATTCACTTTCATTCCTTTTTTGGGAATTAGCACTTTGTATCCTCCGGAAAGGCGTGGTACAAAATACCTGGACATTGCATTTCATTACCCACTTCATTATCTTTTACTATCTCAATTTCCATTCTTTTTGCTTTAAATTATAACTTATTTAATTTCTTTTAATAAGAAAATGTTTGAAGGAATTTATCATGTACCTGTTTTTCCAGCTTTTAACTCAAAATCTTATTTTTTTAATTGATGAAACATGATTGACATTAATTAACAATATAAAAACATTTTGACAACCAACCAAAAAAGAAAACTGCAAGCTGAATATATACTAAGAATATAGGCCTTAGAACAACCTGTATTTTCATGTACCTTTGTAAACTCTAAAGTATACGAACACACACACTTGACGTCATCTCATACTTGGAGTCCTCAGGTTAATTTAGAATTTGTGCGTTGTTATTAAATATAAATCATCATCATCACTGATACAATATAAAATATTGTACAAACATGCAATTATTGGACACTACATCATGTTCTACAGAATGTGTGTTAGACAGGATAACTAATTTGCCTAATAGCTTTTACTTTCTCAGGATATCGCAGCTAGTTTTCGTCTAAGTATATCTGAATGCTGAACATAATTTTGTTCTGATTGATTGCTTCAGCTGTCCGCAATTTGTGCTAAAATTAACATGGTTGTTTATAGCATCTGTTGGAGCACTTTCTCTTAGTGGTTGTTTTATGTTATCTCAATTTCCATAGGAATGCCCAAAAAAATTTGAAATCTAGATTTTAAAATAACCAGATTTTCTCTGAAGACTTATAATTTCTACACAGGGAGAACTGCTTTCGTAAACAGTGGTGGTGCCAGGGAGTTGGGGAAAGGGCAATTACGCTTTTGTGTATAAGGGAACAAAAGAAACAAATTTAAGGGGAATCAGGCCGGTCTTTAGCCCTCTTTTCAGAAAAAACAAAAAAACAAAAAAAGAAAGAAAAAGGAATGATTGATTGCCCCACAAGGTTGTAGTTTAGTGGGCAGAGGTAGGCGGGGCCACCCAGCCTTGAAGTTTTCCACCCAGTCTAAAGCTAGTTTCATGGCCCTCCACCCACCCTTATTAACCCACTTTTCCATCCTTAAAATCTACTCGTATTATCTAGAGTTTACCAATGTTATCACGCACCCAACTTATCTCCACTCTTAGTTTTCATTAGCTACAACCCTGCCCCGGACAACATAGGATAGTGTTGTTTCGATCAACTCCACTTTCGGACATCTATGGATCCGCCCCTGCCACCTACCTCCGCTGACATGCACTGGGAATTATCATACACATGTCGGACAGCCTAAGTCTAGTTTACATAAAAATCGCTACACGCTTTTTTGCAACGCTGATTGGTCAGTAGATTGCAATGAAAAAACTGTAGCGACAGTGTAGACATTGTATGGAAACCAAGCTATAGCACCACCCCCCCCCCCCAATTGTACCATTCCAGAGCCAGTACTATTATAAGCTTTTCCCTTCGCAGTGTCTTTCCCAAGCCTCTTCTCCCAAGCCTTTTCATTAGGCCTCTTAATAGATTCAATGTAATCTGCGAACATGGCATTACAAAATTTACTTGTACTAATTAAGATTATTTATAGACAATAATATCAAACAGAAAGTAAAAAGTGATATGTTTTTCAGGAATTTCCTTGGCTAAAATGTTATAATGCAACTTAATATAGCTTTTTAGACAAAATTATGTTCTTTTCGAAAATGATTGAAAAAATATTGTTATAATATTTAAATAGAAGTGATTGCCCCCAACCAACATCTGATTGGTCAGATGTTAAGTTTGTTTGACACGCAGGAAAATTGTTGTCTCCAAAGCATGTTTATTTTCTAATTACATCAATTGATGCATCTCTGTTGTCAGGGATGTCATAGTAGACCTCATACAAAGAGGAATCCAAATGTTATAGGTTATTTAGTAGTTTTCAAAGGTTACATAAATATTCACTGCCGATTCGTCCATTGACCAAAGTAACTCTACAATCATTAAATATATAAAAGTAAAAAATGTTACAAATCTATTATACACAGTATATAAATGTTTTTTATACTTTTTTTAAGAACCAGTACAATTTTGCTCAGGCTCAGTGTTCTTATTTTTTTTTCCAATTTCAGGCTAATAATGTTCTGTTGTATTGTTCTTATTTTACACTATACCGTACAATAAACGGCTGGTTTGTGGGGGAAATTTCAGCATCAGTTTAGCCGAGTATTTTGTTACATTCCCCTGGAAAGGGGGCCCCCCCAATCAACAAGAAAACATCACTCTAGGGTGCATCGCCCTACAAAATTTTTGTTTTTTATAAGCCCTAAAATAACCTCTGAGGTGTTTTGGGCAAATCAATTATTTATTTTTGTTTCTTTCCAAAAGTGGGGGGGGGGGGGGGGGCCCCCCCCCCGGCCCCCCCCCCCCCCCCCCCCCCCCCCTTTTTTAAGGAAAAAAAAAAAAAAAAAAAAAAAATATGT